GTTTGGGATGGAGTGGAGAAGGATTGCAACACCTGTCAAGTTTTAAATTACAGTCTGTGTCTTTGTTAGGGAGATTTAAGCCAGGAATACACGTCCTAATTTTTTCAACAACAAAAAATAGAACAGATCCCTCCAACAACTAAGAGTGTTGCTGGACAAGTCCCCCACTGTTTGCATTGTATTCTGACAGTGGAGCCAGCCGTTGTCAGAATACCCGAACAGAGCTAGCAGTTGATTGGCTAGCTTTGTTTACCTGAGAATTTCCTAACCGGCTCCTTGGATCAGCTGATCATGGAAGGCCAAGCAGAAGGGTGCAGACAATGACGCTCACGGTGTGAATTTCGGCTGGATCATTAGGAAATGGACAAAATTCAACACGTGTATACCCGGCTTTACCCTATTTTGGTAACCATTATGACCAAGCGTGAAAGTGAAAGAAAAACCCAAATTTTGAGTTTTCAACAGAGCAGGAATAGAGAGGAAAACTTTGAACGGGGACATAGTTCTGGTTGACAGTTCATAGTTATAATAAACAGACATGGGTTGTAACCCTCCTTTGCTCTATCCAAAATGATAAAAAAAATGAATAAAAATAAAAGCATTTGGCTCTTTAAATTATCCTATTTAAAATGTGGCTGTATTTGTTTTGCTACTCTTGAGTCTGCTACAGTGGCTTGCAAAAGTATTCACCCCACTTGGCATTTTTACCAACAAACAATTGAAAGGTGGTGCAGTCATATGTATTCACCCACTTTGCTTTGTATGAAGCCTCTATACAAGATCTGGTGCAACCAATTACCTTCAAATGTCACATAATTAAAGATGACCTGTGTGCATTCTAAGTGTCACATGATCCCCGTATATATACACACACACCTGTTTTGAAAGGCTCCAAAGTCTGCAACACCACTGAGCAAGAGGCACCTTAAAAGCAAGTGGCACCATGAAGGCCAAGGAGCTCTCCAAACAAGTCAGGGTGAAGAAGTACAGATCATAATTTGGCGCCACAGAGCAGACAAGGAGAACATTTAATTAGAGGGGCAACAAACAGACCAAAGATAACCCCGAGGGAGCTGTAAAGCTCCACAGCAGAGATTGGAGTATCTGGCCATAGGACCACTTTAAGCCGTACACTCCACAGAGCTGGCCTCCATGGAAGAGTGGCCAGAAAAAAAGCCATTGTTTACAGAACAAAATAAGCAAAAGGCATGTGTGAGGCTCCCCAAACATATAGAAGGTACTCATATGTCTAAAATTAAGCTTTTTGGCCTTCAAGGAAGCCGGTATGTTTGGTGCAAAGCCAAGACCTCCCATCATCCCGAGAACACCATCCCCACAGTGAAGCATGGTGGTGGCAGCATCATTCTGTGGGAATGTTTTTCATCAGCAGGGACGGGCAACCTGGTTAGAATTGAAGGAATGATGGCTAGTGCTAAATACATTGAAATTCTTGAGGGAAACCTGTTTCAGTCTGCCAAGAGATTTTAGACTTGGACGGAGATTCACCTTCCAGCAGGACAATTACCCTAAATGTCTTGCAATGGCCTGGTCAAAGCCCAGACTTCAATCTAATTGAGAATCTGTGACATGATTTAAAGATTGCTGTATACCAGCAAAACCCATCCAACTTGAAGGAGCTGGAGCAGTTTTGCCTTGGAGAATGGGCAAAAATCCCAGTGGCTAGATGTGCCAAGCTAATAAAGACATACCCCAAGAGACTTGCAGCTGTAATTGCTGCAAAAGGTGGCTGCACAAAGTATTACCCTGAGGGGGGGGTGTATAGTTATGCATGCACAAGTTTTCTTTTTTTATGTCTCATTTCTTGTTTTTATCATAATAAAAAATATTTTGCATCTTCAAAAGTGGTAGGCATGTTGTGTAAATCAAATGATACAAACGCCTAAGAAATCAATTTTAATTCAACTTGGTAATGCAACAAAATAGGGAAAAAAATGCATACTTTTGCACGCCACTTCATATGTTTTCTTATACAGGACAGTTGTACATTCTGCATGGAAAAAGTGTAGAAAATATGCGTCTTGTTTTTTGTATCCTTCATCTATCTTTTACCCTCCTATTTATATTGTTAAATACATATTCAAACAAATTGCCTTGTCACACTTATACCTCTGTATTATCTACTGGTGTTAATTGGATGGTCTCCTTCTCATTCTGAGGTCCCAAGGACTATATTGCATTACAATACATCCTAATCATCCTTACCTTGTATTAGGCCAATGAGGTCCTCCACCACTTACTTAAAAAAAAAACTTGGTACTCTACTATTTTTTGTTTCACAATGAAAGACTCCTTCCCTCTATTGCTTTAGTTTTCTCATTTTAAGGCTGTTATATTATGAACCTTACTTTCCTTAAAGTCAAGGGTAATGGGTTTTCCATTTCAACTCTTAGATCATTTATATCTTCTCCCTGAGGTCAAACATTAGGTATCCTAGGCTTCGGCCTTGCCATAGGAACCATTCTTGTTTCTTTGCTGACTCCATTGATTGTTGGTCTAAGTTTCTGCCAACATGATTTTCCTTATGGTGGTTGATTAGTTGTCCTTCACATTCTTGTTGAAGTCATCATTCTCTACTTTATGGTGCTACCTACCTTTCTCTGGAACACCTGATTCCTTCTTGATGTTTTTTGCCTTGTAAGTCGCAATTTCCAAATTTAGTTTCTTTTTGTAACCCAAAAATATCATTCAGATATGGATTCATTTGGATATTAATTAAAAAATGTCATATGTGTTGGATTTCTCAGTGGCTGTTGCCCGCCCTACAGTTGGAATGCTTTTGGAGATCCCAATTGTCTAAGAATTATTACATTATTGTGTCCCCTAATGGGCTTACCACACTATCTTTTTCTTGAAGTCTATTGAGGAACATAGGTCCTGCCCCTCTGTGTTGATGGCCTTACGTACTGCTTGCTAACAAACCTGAGGCCTGATGATTGAAGGGCGGGTGATACAAGGTTTAGCTTAAAAGGAGAACTATGAGGCGAGTGAAAACCACTCAGCCTCATAGTTATAGCCGACCTGCAGGTCGGCTCAATAGATCGCGAAATGAGCGAACACATACTGTCACTCGCTCACTCCTCGATCCTGTCCCTGCAGAGCCGTCACTCACGGCTCCCTGCAGGGATTCCCCCCATCCCCTGTCCAATCCTCCATCGCTGACTGGCGGAACGGACAGGGGTAGGGGTGGGTACAGCTGGCTCTGCCTCTAGATAGGCAGAGCCAGCTGTCACTCACGCAGCTGGGTGGATCCAGACAGTAATGTCGGGATCCGTCCCGGCTGCGCCGTCTCAGTATACTGCGAGCTGTAGCTTGCGTTATTCTGAGCTTTTGGGTGACGGGAGGACGCTAGTTTGTGTCCTCCCGTTACCCTTAGAACTAGGGGAAAAGCCCTGACCCCATAGTTCTCCTTTAATGGTTTTTTTTGTTTGCCAGTGTCCAAACCTCCTGAAGCCAGCAGCCTAACCCAACTGTCCAAGAATTACAACATTCTTGTGTCACTCAATGAACTTCAAGAAACAGATTTTACAGTAAGTGTGAAAATCTTATCTGACATAGCTTAGTGAAGGTGAAACACACAAGGAATTTTGTAGTAACTTTGCAGCTTATTATATTTATTATAACTATATGGCATACAAATTTCTGAAAGGAGTAACTGTGTGACTCTACCTTTTCACCTAGAAAATGTACCAATGTGCTTAACCCATCTAATAACCCAAAATGCTTCAAAAGGAAAGGCAGCAAGTTTGATCACTGGAAGATTTTTATTAAAATCACTTTCCTTCAAACTGCATTAAGAAACAGGCCATGTTTTGAAACTCTTCTTTATGATTGCAGTTTGAAGGTAAATTATTTACAGGAAACCAACATATGAAATGTCCATGTGAATTCTTCATTAGAAACACTGTGCTTTAGACAGCTGAGAGCTTGCTTGTGGATGACTTTTCGAAATGGGTATTGATGGTCAAAAACTAAAAATAAATCTGTATTTCTATAATGAATTTCCATACATTTTATCTCACTCCTAATAACCAAATCAATCTACAGGTTTGTAAACTTACTTGTTAAAGATGCCCATAGGATGTACTTCCTCAAAATACTAAAAAGCAAGCATTGCATTTTTTCTGCTAGCAAGTGTGTACCAGTGATGTCTGGCCAACCTCCAAGCAGCATTACCCTCAGTGGAAGGATAGGAAGCCACTACTGAGAGAAATATGCAGGCTACTACTTCTACTAGCATGCAGCTCAAAGTCAGAACCCCCTAATCTGCCAAGTCAGTGGCTGAAAGACTATCAAAGCCATTGGATCACCACATCCCTTCCTGAGCAAGCTGATCCCCTAAAAGGACCAGGATTTATTTAATATTAGAAAGTCATAAATAAAAGGGATATATTGTGTATGTTTTATAGACTTTTTCAATAACAATTCAAAGAAAAAGAATGAATTGCACAGTGCAGTAACCCATAAGTGGAAGCCTTAACTGAACTAACTAAGGTAATCTGAAATCATATTGCTTGGTCTTGGTAACTGCACATTCATAATTATCAAGCCTAGTGCTGTCATTGTGTCTAGATCAAAAAAGCAACATTTTTGTGTCTTTGATCTTATGATTCAGCACAGTTTGATATCAATTGATGACTGCATATAACTGTCTGGAATTAGTCATGTCATAAACCTTCAGAAAATGTTTGTTTTAGGTAGTCACCAAAAAGAGGATATTTGGATATAATATACATTTGCCTTAAAAAAAAAACGGAGCAAAAATTCCCAGAGAAAACAAAAAAGCAAAATACACCTCAAATAGCCAAAAACAGGAATGGTTTATTCAAGTCACATATCCAGTTGTATGACAGCGTCACTGGTACAATATAATATTCAATACAGGGAAATGTAAACACAGGCTTATTGTTTTATGGTAATGGCAGTACGCATCTTAAAAAAAGGGGCTATGAAATACATATTTTGGGGGGTTTTCTCCATATCCAGAGTGTTATTTATGCTTAAACTGAGCTGTAAAAATAAAACGGACCACAATTCAAGGACAAAAAAGGGTAGCTCACAGACTCCCCTGTAGCGAAGATCCGTCCATCTCACAGATGTGCAGGAACAAGTTCTGTTTTCCCTTTTTCTGTGACCACCTGAATAAGACTGCCAGACTTTGGCCTGCTATCCCCAGTGGTCCAGGTATAAAATGTTCTGCAGAAGACAAAAAAAAAAAAAGGCATTAATAACGATCAATTCTTGCATAATGAGCAGATAACAACAATCAGCAAGTTTAATTGCTACAGTAATAATAATACCACCACAAAAAACAAAGTATATTAGCAATAGATGTGATTACATTAGTAGTTACAATATAAAACAATACTATTACTGATAACATTAATAATGACAAATAATAATTATGGGCGTCCCTGGGCTTTTTACCTCCAGAGGTGGCAGGAGAGGTGGACGGTGTGCTGGTGGTGCACTAACAGGGTGGGACGCTGGCCAGAACATCCTGCTCAACTGAGCAGGATTCCGGCCAGGACGCCATCTTCTACAAGTCTCACAAATGCCAGCCAGAGCGTCCTGCTCAGCTCCTGGCAACCAGTGACATCACTGGTTGCCAGGAGCTGAGCAGGATGCCGGCCAGAGCTTCCCAGGTTGCTAAAAGCTGGGTGGGGAGATATGTATGGCCCTTACACATCTCCCCACCTCTTAGCAACCTGGGACACTCTGGCCCAAAAGGGGGCAGCAGGCACACTGGCGCTCTGCCTGCTGCTCCCTCATGTGACCCAAAGAGGAGCCACCCGAGGCTACATCCTCAGGCTGCCTCATTATAAGGACAGCCCTGATATTGAGAATTTGTTATTCAGGTGTTATTGAGCTACTAAAACATTTACTTTTGTATTTAGGTTGTATATGGTAAATGCTAATAGGATTGAAACAGCAAATCTGTATTTCAAAATTAAAATGTCCATAGGTTCTATTCCGCTTCTAATAACCATCTTGGTCTAGACGTTTGTAAACTTACTTATTGAAGATGCCCATAAGATGTACTTCCTCAATGCACCGACACAATTTAATTTGCAGAATATGCAGTAAGTGCATATTCACAGCATTGTGAATATGTACTTACTTGTGTTGCAACTGTCACAGAGCCTGCCGTCTGAACGATGTAACATTATCATTGCTTGCTGGAAGCAATGCATGATGGGATATGTAGACTTGAGAAATTGAGATTGTACCACATCAAGCAGCAGTGAAAGAGACACAAAGCACACTGGGAATCCAGGAAGTTGATGAAAGTGATGGGCAGACGGAAGGCGGCACTCACTACATAAAAGGGATTTTTTCAAGTAACTTAATTGCATTATCAAAAACAACTCTAGTATATATAGTATAACAGGACAGTGTATGCTGGGACTTTACAACTCCTTTAATTAGACTTTAACTACTTTCAATAAATCTGGCGAAAAATGTCAAATGGAAAAACAATCGCACCCAGAGCATGTGTAATGATCAACTTATGTTAGAGAATACGTTAGACGCACCTAATTTCCATTCTGGCATAATGCAGTGCAAGAGAAATGCTGTCATTGCATACGGCATCAGACAGTAATTGTGCCGAGCAGAACACAAAGGTAAACAATATAATGAGAAGAACATAGTCTGGGGCGTAAGGCTGGCGGCTGATAAGAAGATACGGTGTACTCACTCAGCGATAAAGTCTAATGGTGTCCAGGAACTGAAGTCTGCATCAGGCATGGAGGCTCTGTTGGCTGGCGTATCCAAGGTAACGCTGGCAATGGGAAGAGATAACGATTAATAAAATACACACTGTACACCTAAGAGCAGCAGAGTATGTTAACCCTTCGGCGAATCAACAACACAGTGGCCAATATGATTGAACTTTTAAAGAGCTACCATGCACATACAGTTTCCAGACCAACATTATTCCCTAAATTTACACAGTTGCAGGTTTGCAACTATTAGGGTTCTCTCACTCATTTAATAAGCCTCGTCTTTCCCTCCCACTCCCCCAATCACCAGTGTTCTACTGTCTAAGACACCTTTTTTGTGGGAGCTGGGCTAAGGAAAAAATTATGCCAGTGGTTCAAGTCAGAGCTGAATTCCAAGCCCAAGAAAGCAACATGCCGGAGTATGAGGATTCAATAACTCCATGGACTGTATGGTGGCTTCTTTTAGGAATCATGTTATCCCAGGTTATTCTGTACCTCTCTCTTTAAGGGCCACATAAAGACCATTATCATTTTTCCCTCAATACAGACATATAGTATGTTAGCTTTAGTCCTGATTTTACTGCAGTTTACATTGGGACATTCTTACAGACTTTAATATGGCAAAAAATGAAACCATTAGCACTAGGGGACTCAAACCACCAGTCAGCAGGTACTCAATCTAGTAAGTCAGCGGCAAGAATATGAAAACTACAGCTTGGATAAAAGTTTTGATTTAAAGGAAGAACTCCGGGCATATTAAAAATGAACCCCTGCAGTGGGGCTACCCCTGCACTGCAAGGGTTAAGTGCTCATTTTGTCCAGGGTCAAAAAAAAAAAAAAGGATATACTTACCTGATCTTTCGTCCTCCCTGACTGCTAGACAGGTCCCCATAGCCTCTTCTCTGGGCTTCAGCGGTCCAAGGACTCGTGATGTCATCATGTCCATTCACTTATATTGGATGTGAGGATGCAGAGGCACATTCCACAGTCAGAGCCGAGAGGGAAGAGTGGTGATCAGTCACTGCTGCAGGATCGTGTAAGTATATCTTTTTTATTTTAGACCCTAGACCAAAATGAACAGCTAACCCTTGCAGTGCAGGTGTAGCCCCGCTGCAAGGGTTAATTTTTAATATGCCCTTCTTTAATGTACTCGAATATCAGAGACGTGTGTGAAAAGGGAAGTGCTATCACTAAGCCCTGGCACCTCTTTTCTGCTTGCACTCCTTTCATACATTTGTAATCTCTCCCCTACTCCAGCCTGCCTACATATGTTGGCCAAATCGTTTTCTCATCATCTACGTTGCACAACTGACAAAATTCAGATGTGTTCGGTCTGTCTCTCGTATCTTTTACACCCCTATCTGAATTTTCTATGCCCTCCCCAGCACATCACTAAAATCATCCTCACCCTGTCCTCCCAAAATCACCAGGCACACAGTTGATCCTCATGCAGTACTGCAAACATGTGATTTTTAGGAAACCGCCAAACCCCTGGCAATCAATTTGCACACATTCAAACCATACACTGTCCTCTAAAGCTGCCCATACACCTTGTGATCATCGGACAAAACTTTTCGTCCGATGATCGAACCGTTGTACGATTTTCATAGGGTGGCCCCATCCTGCCCCGATTATCACAAGGTTGAATCAGCAGTAATTAAAAGAAAGCACCGGGACGAATTGCGAGCACACATATTTTCGTCTGTGCATGAGCAGTGTAAATCGTACGAATTTTGACATATGGAAACGCCACCAACCTTGGGAAAATCATACCATTGCCTGAAGTTTTCTAACCTGCTGGTTAGTCTAAAGATCGATTGATTGTACAGTATTTGAGGTTGTACACAAATATTGGCTGATACTCATCAGGTGTATGGGCAACTTGAACCTCCCAAAATTGCTTTGCGCACATCTGATCCTCAAGTTGTCCTCTGAATCACCTAAAATTTCTTAGCACAGATCTGATCCTTACACTGTCCTCCAAAGATCCTGCAATCACTTTATCTGTGAAGGTTCTCATTCATCCAGGTCATGGTATATAGTTTTCTCAAATCATACATTCTGAATTGAGAAAGTTAGTCATACGATCAGCAAAACATCTTCAAGAAAAATACAGCGAGTCCAGTTGCCTTGATTTTTGTTTTACAGATATCTGCAAATCACTCTGCACAGATCCAATCCTCACGCTGTCCTGAATCAGTTTACACACATCTAAGCTGTAGGCTTGAGCCTCCATAAATCACTATGTATTTATTAATTAGGGATGCACCGATATATCGGCCGAAAATGGCACTTTTGGCTAAATGCCGAAAGTGCCATTTTTGTGCCGATGCAGCGGCGCATCCACGCTTTCTTTCCTCCTGTGGCTGTGATAAACTGTACTGTTCTCAGGGACCAGCACAGCCATCACGCCACTTTGCTGTAGTTTGTAGCAGGTGCTGGATACTGCATCAAGGTCGCCCACTCTGTTGATGATGAAGGCCACATTCTAAAAACAGACCCATTACCGTTCTCCGAGAACAGACACACAAATCTAAAATGACATGACCGTGGAAGAAAAATTCCTTATTGAATGAAATCCATAACATGCAGGTACAGGTTAATAGCTTTTATTATTCTAATACAACACAGGCGGAATCATAATAACTTGTTTGAGTGTAAAGTCAGGTTTCCCGGCTCCATAAACATCTAACAGTTTATTGTTACATGATCAATATAATATGCTGCCCGGCAAGAGTCAGTGTATGCACAGCATCCTCCCATTGCCTCGCACGCGTTCAGGGTCACATGGAGGATCAATATCTAACAAATAAATAGAAGACTTACGGGAGTATGGCTACAGCAGCAGAATTTGTTGGCAGTCCACTCTTCTCACCGCCGAGGCTCTGACACAGCTGATGAACAGCCGCCTTTGCCATGCCATAAGCAATCATACCTAAGTCAAAGAAAGAGAAAAGCACTCCATGTGGTTAACGTGTCATTACGTTTTTTTGGGATAAGGTGTCCTGCTAGTGTTGCTACCCAGCTAGTAATTTACTGGCCTGACTGATGCAAATGGAACTTATGATACCTTTCCTACTAACCCTTTCGCTGGCAGTGGGCCCCTTTAAAAACAGCCACCGATACTCTGCTTAGATGTGTAAAGCCGACTCCTCCCTGCTGAATGGGACTGGAAGTGATGCTGGAAGTGGTCCCTTAGACGTTATTGTTCTGCTGCAAAAGCCGGGAAAGAAGCTATTGGAGTGCATTCTGTGCTCCAATGGCTTCTGTGGAGTGAAAGGTGACACTAGGGGTTTAATAGACCCCTAATGTCACCTAAAAAAAAAAAAAGTACCTGTCACCACTAGTATGCCATCACATAGGGGGCTTGTGAGCACCCCCCCTATGTGAAAGCAATTACAGAAAAAAAGTATTTAGAAATAATAATATAAATAATGAATAAATACAATTAAATGCAAAACAGTCTCCCGTCCCTATGAGGGGACTCATTTTAAGGTCCCCAAACATCTTGCGATAATCGCGGGAAATCCTCAGGGGGGCGCGGCTTGCGATCATCGCAAGTACGATCTGCCTGTCCAAGATGGGCAGATCGTACGTTTTTTTTTAAAGTACCTTACAACCATCGCAAGACAAAAGTCTTGCAATGGTTGTAAGGTGTGTGCCCAGCCTTACTCGTTGTAACCTCATGTTTTTATATTTAAAAAAAAAAAAAAAAAAATGGGTATGATAGTGTTTTTGGGCACTAAAATTAACTTAAGTGCATTTTTTACAAAATGTTTGGGTTTGATAAAGAGTTGTGCTAATATTGTGCAACACAAAAATTGGTAACTTCCACCATTTTATTCTACAGCGTCTTTGCTTTCAGAATATAATGTTTGGGCCTAAAATGTGGATTATAACTTTTGCAAAAAAAATAAAAAAAAAAAGGCATTGGCAGTGAAAGGGTTAATTAAATTGGTACGGAGGCTGGGATAAGTCAAAAAGCAAAAATGTCATATTTGCTTCAGCATGTGATTTTATTATCTCTCACATTGTATCTTTCAATTTCTATGTTCATTAAGTCCTCATAAATAGCCTTTGCCCCTAATATCTGCATGCGTGATGATCTTGTAGTCACACATGCAGAAACACTGCTGCTCAAAAAAACTACTACACTGTTTTTTTCACTACTCCCTCTCAGCTCCACCCCAATGCCCTACCTCCATTAGATTACTCCAAATCACAGGCTTGCAAATCTTACATATGTTAGATGCGCATTGTACATATAACCCCTTAGTGGACCTGTTCTAGTCTGTCCAACCCACTGTTCAGCTGAAGATTTTCCACCCAGCACCTTCTATTTTCTGATCGAAGGATGTCAGGCGGAAGGTCACTGACAGGGCCACCCAATTACTGAATTTCAGCTAGTTCATTAAGAACCGGCCAAAATTCACACACTGTGTGGCCAGTTTAAGACTTGATAGAAGACAATGCAAATGTCTGGATGGATGTTCAGGAACCTACAGAAATGGATTTAAACTTTCAGCAGTACAGAGCAGCCAAAATAACAGCATTTGATTGCTAAACGCGTGGTACGGGTTTATTGTAGTTTGCTTTACTAATCTGTTCTGATCATTCTGTCAGTTTGTCTGCATATCAGTAAAGCACAGCAAGGAAAGGGATCAGAGGAATGAATAGACCCTCAATGACCCTGCTGTGCTAAGCATACAGACCCCTAATGTCTCATTCAGCAAGGCAGTCGGAAGACTAACAGTGATTCCAGAAGTGCTCAGGGTCATCAGTGTTGAAGTCCCAGCACTTGCAGCACCCAAGGTTCCTTCTTCTTTACGTTGTGCATGTGATCACATCCATATGTATTTATACCAAGGCTCCTCCAGATTGATTGCAGGCTTTCAGTTGTTAAAAAAGCAATGAGCTTGTAAACCAAAAGGGAAGCCAAAGGGGGTAATTGTACAGCAGCGGCATGCTGAAAGCAGTGCACCTACATAGTAAAGAGAATGCCCCGGGCAGCGAAAGGGTAAAATACAGAGACTTCAAAAAGAATTGCATATATTTTTAAGAGCCATTGGACAAGGAAGGAGGCAGGTAGAGGGTCAAGCTGTAGGGCATTAAAATTGCTTATGCGTTTGTAATGTGCAAGGGAGTTAGCTGTACATAAGTTAGCTGGAACAGAAGCTACACTACTACTGGGGTCTAATTAATGACAGAGGACACACACTGGTGTAGAAGACTGCGAGGCTGATTTACTAAAGGAATTGAAAATGTGAAGAGTAAAGATTTCTTTTCAAGTGATTGTGCGTTCTCAAATCATTTAGTAAATCGTCATGCTGGTGTGTATGTATGTAATGTATGTATGTATGTATGTACACACACACACACACACACACACACACATTACACATATATTATATATATATTACACACACACACGTATGCATGTGTGTGAACGTTCTCAAATTATTCAGTAACTCAGCATGTGTGTGTGTCTTTTTTTTTTCTGCGGGTTGTTAATTAATCCAGATCATCCTAAGTAGGATGTTTCCCAATCCTTGTTTTGCAATAAGTGTCTGTTCTATATAATAGGAGACATATGATGTCTGCTGAATGAAGGCATTCCTACAAAACATTTCCTACTACAGAGAGTTCCTGTTATTTTGTAACGCCGGAGGTCAGCAGATGTAATATAAGGAGCCCTATATCTATGTATACATATTGCATTGTGTAATTGTGTGTCATTTTTGTTTTTACAAAAGCTTCGGAATAGGTTTAAGTATTTCCAAGTGACTGGTCCCGCTCTACGATTAAAGGACAAACATACAGTACAAAATATCCTAAGGAGGCAAAGGTCTCCTGTATTATCTGATCTTTACACAGCATGAGGATGTGTATAGTAAAAGTGATCCATCTGTGGGCACAGCATGTGAAAGATGACAGTATGTAATATGATGCTCAGTCATAGCTACCGTATATCGTACGATGGAATTGCCGCAGGGAGGAGTAGTTTATATGAACCAGACTGTGGTGTCATATACAGGTTGGGTTCACTGAGTACCTTTGTGTTCCCAGCCATTTGGCACAACGCATGTTTTCTAGCATGGGCATTAGTGACACCAGTGTGTTAAAGGCCTTAAAGCAAGTGTGCTGTGCACAAGCTGTCTTACAGGGACATTTGCCAAGAGAAGCACAATAGGCTGCCATTGATGGCCTCATTTTTGGAAAAGGCACATTAATCCAGTGGCTGCAATACATTTTGAGTCAATGACATTGCATACATGTTCAAACTATGAGCTTTGACTTTACTTACTGCATGCTTGTTCCAGAGGAGTGACAAAAAGAGTGCCGAAGCCAGTACCTGTTTGTTACACAAAAGTCCATATATACAGCCTTGGTTGATCCATTTGAGGTATGTTTCATTACTGGTGATTATATGAATACTATACAGCTGATCATAATCTGTTCACTAGAGACAGGAAAATGACTCATCTATGAGGTCATATGTGGGATGTGGAGCCTTTTGATTGGTAGATGGGTTGTTTTCAATGTGTATTTAAAAACTTGTATTGCATTTCTGTTTCACTCTCTGTTTGCCTGAGGAAGGGGCCGCATGGTCCCGAAACGTTGCTAGAGGTGTTATCACGTGGGTCAATAAAACGTATTGACTTGATCATTTGGAGTGTCGGTGACTTTATTATATTTTTTTCTTTGTTACACAACACTGCATTTTGGTAGTGAGGGGTGTCACATTTCTAGGGAAGGTTAGGATCAGAAGAAGGGAAGGGGTGACTATTAGGGTAACCTGTTACCACTGGCGGAACTACCACGGCCGCAATTGCGACCGGGCCCTGGCATTCCGCCACTTCTGGGGGCCCCCGTGTTCGTGCCGCTCCTTCCCTGTCGCACAGCCACCCGCAGCATGTACAGGCAGCTGTGCGAAAGGGCTGGAGAGGCTGTCACTGGTCCCGGAGAATGAGCTTGCCCCGCCTCTTAGGGGTGGAGCTAAGAGGGTCTCTTAGCTCCGCCCCCTGGCTGCAGAGACGAGGAAGAGGGCCATGGGCCTGCAGGAGAGGTAAGGTAAGTTTGGAGTGGGAGGGGGTGCTGGGAAGAGAGAGGGAGTGTGTGTGTGTGTGTGTGTTGCTGGGACTTGTAGTCCAGCACAGCTGGTGGTAATCTGCATTGCTGTATGATGATTATTATACAGCAATGCAGAATAGCACCAACTATGTATGACTACAAGTCCCAGTAATGCATTGTGGGGGGGGGGAGCTGGTGGTATTCTGCATACCTTACGTTTATTATTATGCATTGCTGTATAATCATTATACAGCAATGCGGAATAGCTCCAAGTGTTAATACTGGGCATTTTCACAAGTACTCATACTCGTGAAAATGCCCCGATACTAAACGCAGATACCGGTGTTCTGTTGAGAACGCCGATGTAGTCGAATTTGCCGACTTCAGCATCTGCGCTTACACAAAGACCAATATTATCGAGTAAACCGGGATTTATTCACAAAGTATTTTGTTTAAAACGTTAATTGTGACCGATAATATTATTCCATCATTTCCTGCCACGGACGGCATATCATTAACGGTCACAATTAACAATACAAACAAATACTTTGTAAATAAATGCCGGTTTCCTCATTAATCCCGTCTGTACATAAACGCAGATACTGGGTTGGCGTTCTCCACAGAACACCGGCACTAAAATGTTAAACAAGCGGCTGCCAGAGGTCCCACGCTTGCTGGGGACCTCGGCAGCCTTCCTGTTAACCATGCAGTGCCGTAGGGTGGTGTAGGGGGCCTTCATGGTTTCTTGCACCGGGGCCCTGAAGGTTCTAGTTACGCCTCTGCCTGTTACTTTGACCTTGGTGGGCATAGTAGAGGCTCACCTTATAAGCAGGAAACAAGAGATACTTGTGTATTTAATGATCTCCCTCTGCTCTGCCAGATCCTTCAATGAATTGTTCTGTCCCTCTCACCTTAGTAGGGGGTGGTGGTGCAGAGCTGTAATATCAAACCTATACTGAGTGAAATACATACGTAGGTAGCATTGCTGACATCTTCCTGAAAATGCTGGTGACCTGGCTGCACCTTACTTTAACACCTTCAGTACTTAATAGTCACCAATCCGGAACAAGAATACTGATCAGCTGTTCTGACTTTGCTATGACTTGCAGTGTGCTTTTATTTCAAATCAGTGACTTTTCAAAGTGTTGAAGTCGAATACGATCATCAAATATCTTCCATTAGGAACTCATACACAATTATACAATCCCTAGCTGTAACCTTTCTTCATGAGCATTGAAGTGTATTTCTACTTTTGCAGCCAAATTGGGAGAACACCCATTTTACATTTGTTACCCATTACATTTAAAACATTTACAAAAAATGTTGCTCATGATTTTATTTGCGCTTTTCTGAAAACCCCAAAATGTTGCTAAAGTCATTTCAAGGATGGAACTTGAGGGGGTGGGGAGTTAATGCTTACCATAAATAGGCCCTTTTCACCTAGGCGTCTGATCAGGTTCGCCTGTCAGATTTTCAGGTGGACCCGATCAGATGCCCAATGCTAGTTTATGGGTAGCTGGATCTAAACTGACAGGTGTCCGTTTACACCCGGTTACCCCCAACTCTGGCCAGGTGGGGAAAAACAGACGGATCAGAGATCTG